TAAAGAATGACAACGAATCTCTCAGTGCAGTATTTGTAAGAACCACATTTTTATTATAATCAAATTTTGAACAGGCACACTTATTATTTTAACTCTACAAGGCATGCTACAATATAATTCATAATAATCGTTCTTAGCCATAGCTACACAGAATTTATTCTAAATGAACTTTGAAATGTTCATTCACAAAAGCCATGGAAGAAGATCTGGACCATGATGTCATTTGAGGAATAAGAGGAGCAACAAGCTTTTGTACTCCTTATTAGTGGCTGTGAACTGACTTTGATGAAAGGAACTTGCTGGTTCTAAATGAAAAAAAGCAAGTGGTTGGACTTGGTGATTGATCAGAGTCATCCTTCTTCTGAATTTAATGTGCTTACCCCTAGTTTCTAGATAGCTTCCAGCATGTTGGGGCTTCTAACAGCTTAATAAACACTTTGTTGCTTATCTGCTCACCTGTGAAACAAATTCAGAAATGAAGATAAGTTTGAAAAGCTAAATGCTTCCATGGTAGAGGTCAAAATATAAGTATTACCAAGTAGTACCTTAGCATCTCTAACTAGCCACACACACCCCAGGCACCCTGGGCTTGGGCTAGGATGTCTGCCTTTATGAGATCAGGAAGGAGCAGTTCTAGATCCAGCTTTGAGAATGAGAAGACCTCCCCACCCCACCCCAGAGCTCTTTGGCCAAAAGCAAAGTTCCAAAAGAACTAAGAACTATTCTTTTAAAACAGAAGGGTCTGAAGTCCAAGAAACTTGGAACAACATAATGAGACACTACCTCCAAAACAAAGACAGACAAATACCAAACAGGGCAAAGAGAAGAGACAAACAGGCTCAACATGTTCTTTTGTTTGTTTGTTGTTGTTGTTAAAAAAATCATTATCCCCCAAGTAATACACATCAAGTAATAGGCACATCAAATAATATGGACTTAAACAGTCAGAGCAAGGAATGTTCTGGAAAGTTATGTATCTGTGACTTGTGATCCTGATACTATGCCAGAGGGTTTTGAGGAAATGCACCACAGCTATACTGTGTCAATATGCTATAGCTCTGAGTAACATAGTGGTGCTGGTGATGATGGTGGCAGTACTGGTGATGGTGGTGGTGGTGGTGGTGGTGGTGGTGGTGGTGGTCATGGTGATGATGGTAGTGATAGTAGTGGTGGTGGGTAAGGGTCTGTCTTTCTTGACTGGGTAAATGACAGAGTAATGAAACATCAGTCTTCACTAAGGATTTGTCATTTATATGCATGTAGCTCCAGAAACAAACACGTCTTGAGATTTATTTTCCATATTAAATAATTGAACAAACTATAGAATCAGAAGTAACATTGTCTTTCCTACCAACATCAGTGAACCACTGGGCTACAAACTGCGACAGCGTGGGTGTCTGCAGAGCAGGAAAAAGACGAAAATAAGTGAGGATACAAAATTAAATGGACTGAGTTATTACACAGTTGGTCATCTTTACCTGATTTATTGATTTATTCTGTGTGTGTGTGTGTGTGTGTGTGTGTGTGTGTGTGTGTGTCTATGTGTGATGCATATGTCCTATGTGTTCATATGTGTGCATGTATCCACATGTATACATGTATGTATATAGGCCCACATGTGTGTGCATATATTTGAAGAACAGAGTCCAACTTCAGCTGTCTTCCTCTACTGTTCTGTACCTTAATGGTTTGTTTGGTTTTTGTTTTGGTCTTTGTCTTTGTTTTAAGACAAGATTTCTCACTGAATGTGGAGTCCACCAATTGGCTGGGCTGCCTGGCCAGCAATCTATCAGGCCTGGCCGAATCCTGGCATTATAGACATGCACCCACATGCTTAACTTTTCACATGGGTGCTGGTGATCTCAACTCAGGTCCTCATAGATTTTCATCAAAGTCGACTCACTGAGCCATATTCCACCTTTTGTGTACATTATTTTGGTGGATAGCATCTCTTGATGCCCAAACAAAAAACCTGGTATTATCCCTTTATCTTTCCTCCCTTCCTATTTATGTCTAATCCATTGCTAGGTGATCATTTCTAAGGTTCTGTATATTTCAAATCTGTCCTCTGCTTCCCATCTTTTTATAATAAACCTGGTGCAGAATCTTCTAAATTCCTTCATCAGCTTCCAAATGGGCCTCCCTGCTGCTAGCTCCAGGCCTTTATTGATGAGGGAATTGAATCACTGTGACTCTGGGCAAAGTACTAAAGTCTCTAATAAGAAAGGACAAGGAGGGGCCAAGCCTCAATTTGAGCTCATATATATCAAATTTAAATCTAAGCTTAAAACCTCCTCTATTTTATGCTCTATCCCTCTACCAATAATTCTACCATCAGCACAAATACATCCAATTCATGCACTGTTCCTTGAACAGATGGGCTTTAATGACCTAGGTAGCCAATCATAGGTAGAAAGACTTTTCAATGGAAACTTGCTGATCATTTTAAACTGTCTTCTTTGAAAAGATAAGGAAGGAGGGAAGGACTTAAACTCATGTGGATGGCTCTAAATCTAGGCTCAAACCTCAATTTCAGGCTTCCTACAACTGACCACTACTAACTCTAGCTCCTAACCTAGGGAGTAGAGACAAGTGAATTATCTAGAAAGCTAGAAATTTAAAGACAAGCATGGTTAAAAGTATAAAACTGCATGTGCTATAATGAAGTTGACAGCTCAGTGTTAAGGATCAGACTGGGAGGATTGCCATATACATTTAAAGTGCAGTTCCCTTCTTGTATAAATGATAAGCCAAGGTTCAGGCTATAGATACACTACACATAGGCTGTACGATGAGTGGTCCATAAGCCACACCGAAGCTATGTCCCAGGACCCCTACTTTCAGTTCATGGTTTTGCTGGGGTTTTTTTCTTCTGTTTAGCTTTTCAATAGAGCATCTTCTCATTTTGTGCTTCTAAGAAAATAAGCAGCGAAGTCTAAACCAAAAGAGTAATGCCCTGGACTATTGTTTACATATGGTTTGACAGAATTATCTAAATGCCTTCTTACTCTTTTCTCTCTGAAAATGGAAAAAAATCCATACTAATGGTAAAATGAGATGGAAAGAAACTGCAACTGCAGACTTTCCTGACATTGTTCTATATGATTCTGTAGACGAGAAATTTAAAACTGATTCCTAAAACTATAGGAAAACAAAAACAAATAGAAATAGCATAATCCAGATATTTAAGTAAATTGTGTATGGTAAAGTTTATTTTATTAGTTAACTTTTCCTCCACAAAATCTGAGTGACCTGACTGGTAGTGCTTAGGCCTATTTTTCCCATACACACAGCTAAGTTACCATTCCCTGGAAAATAACCTTTAGATGAAAAAGTTCTCTTTCTGTGTGCCTCTCACTATCTTTGTGTCTCCCTCTTATCTGTGTGGTGTGGTGTGGTGTGGCATGGTGGTGGTGCAAATGTACATGGGGGCCGTCAAGTATAATCTTCAGGAATGCCATCAGATTTCTTTAACTCAGGCTAAATTTTCTGACCAACAATCCTCGGGAATCCTCCTGTCTTCACCTCTCCAGACCTAGGATTACAGGCTCATGCAATGATGTGTAGAATTTTTACATGGGGGTCTGGAATCAAACTCAAGGGCTCATGCTTACAAGGTAAGGGCTTTACTGGCTGAGCCAACCACCTTGGCCTGGGAAAAATCTTTTTCTCAAACTTTACATGGGCAAAAAACATCATGAGATCAACGAGATCATGTCTACCATATTGTCTTACTTCACTTTAGTAGGATATGTATAAAGAATCATGGCAAAATTACACTATCAGATTAGGTTTATACTTCATCCCAAGTCAATTATAGTTTTGATAGGCCCAGTCAGAGGCTCTCTCAATAGATAGATAGATAGATAGATAGATAGATAGATAGATAGATAGATAGACAGATAGACAGACAGACAGACAGATAGACAGATAGACAGATAGACAGATAGACAGATAGACAGATAGATAGATAGATAGATAGATAGATAGATAGACAGACAGACAGACAGACAGACAGACAGACAGACAGACAGAGATAAAGATAGATAAACATATCCAACTGCCATTGGAGTGAAGGACTGATGGCAAGCAGATCTTCTGTCCAGTATTAGACATATCATATTGCAACTCATACATAAAAGCCAAATTGCCATGTGTCATAGCAACAGAAGGGAACACATAGGAGCAAAGACCAGAACAATGACCTCATGGTAGATTTCTTTCTTATTAGTTTCTAGAGTCTTCTGATGACCTATGGCAAAGTTACAGATTAGAATAAGTTTAACCCTTTCATTTTCACCAGACTTTTCAAAGCCATTACTAACTATGGTAATAATAGCAATGACAAAAGAAAATGGTCAAATTACATGTTTGCTCAATGACTAAGTACAAGCACTGTTCTTGGGGAGGCAGTGAGTTCAGGTTCCAAGCATCCATGTCGGATGGCTTGCAGCTTCAGGGCATCCAGTAACCTCCGTGAACTTCATGGGGTCCAGCACTCAAGTTATGTAACACACACACACACACACAGAGAGAGAGAGAGAGAGAGAGAGATACATATATACATGTAACTAAAAAATAAATCTTAAAAAATTATCTTTTGGCTTCATGGCTTCCTGAAAAACAAAAGCCATAACTGGAATGATTGAGGAGGGGAAAAGAAAGCATGGCTTTCATTCACATAAAATGTCATTGAGTGTTGTATAAACCAACTGGACATTCCATTAGTCATATTTCACTTTACTTTAGCTTGCTGGTGACCAGTCTGATATAGCTAATCGCAAGGCATGTCAATGATGCTTCCACATAATCGCTTTCTTGTCTCTGTACAACCAGACGCCTTTTCTGACTCTGCCTTGAGTACTATAAATTCTAGAGCCTCCCCCTTTCATGTAAACCTGTGTATTCATCCTTTTAACAGATTATCCAACTGCAGCCCTCTGTGCTCAGAGCATCCTTTGCTCTCACATAGTAAGCATCTCTGTCTGCTCTTGCTATAGATCCACCCACTATTACGGAGTCTAAGAGCAACGAAGCCACCACAGGACGACAAGCTTCCCTCAAATGTGAGGCCTCAGCTGTGCCTGCACCTGACTTTGAGTGGTACCGGGATGACACCAGGTAACCCTTTATACCCTAAGTTCCCAATCTGAGTCACCTAGAGCCCAATAGCAAGACCTTGCTCAACTGTAATGGTGTATATTTTTTCTTTTCAACATCTCTATTACATTACTTAGAAATTGTAGCCCTTAAGCTGAACCCAAAAGCATTTAAGATGAATTTAAATATGAAGGAATATGGTTCTATTGGTAATTTCCACCTATGTATTATTCTTGAATGTAATAAAAACTTAGTTTAAATGGAACTCATCCATTGCTGTGTCTTTGTGGATGGACATAGACCAGTTCTAATAATAGAAGTTACATGATTATAATGAGTAAGTGAGGAAAGATAATAAACACTCTATTTCCTCTCCTCTCTTTAAAAACTCTAGCATAAAGATGAAGGGAAAACCACAAAGCTGTGCCCTTCAGCTGTATCACTTTAACTTTTCTATTTTTTACTCTTAGGATAAATAGTGCAAATGGCCTTGAGATTAAGAGCACTGAGGGCCAGTCCTCTCTGACGGTGACCAATGTCACTGAGGAACACTATGGCAACTATACCTGCGTGGCTGCCAACAAGCTCGGTGTCACCAATGCCAGCCTAGTCCTTTTCAGTAAGTATGCCAAAACAGAGTCTGATTCCATGCAAGTCACAGAGTTCCCTCGTACTGATTTGAAATCTATCCCCCATCCTTAAAGGTAAACCTATACAAAAATAAGAATATTCCCACTGAAACCAGAGTGGAGGCTGCCAGTCTCCACGAACAGCAATATTTTCAAATAGAAGAACTATTCTCTCTACTCTCTTGCTTTGGATAACTTCCCAATTTTTTCACTTGTATTGCACAGTTTTATTTTTCTTATGGTTGGTTATTCTTCAAGAAAATTCAATGAATACATATTTATTTTGTGATGGCCTCTTTCTGAAACTGGGGTAATTTAAGAGTCTGGAAATGGATAGCTCTTATAATATACCAGCTAGTAGTTATTGGGAAAGAAATGTCCAGTAAGAGCAGATGAAGTCCTGGGAAAAAGAGAGGCTGAAAAAAGAAAGTGTTTTTCCTAACACAAGAGGAAGGGTAGAATGAGTGTTTAAAGCATAATATAAAATTTGAAGGAGAAAGAGGTTCTGTAGAATGGTTTCCCTATGGTAGTAAGTTTACATTTCTGATCTGCCATTTGCAGCAGACGTAGGATCCTGGAAAAGGGAGCATTTCTGAAGATCAAAGAAGACCTTGAAAGATGGTGGAGAAGTAATCAGTCCTTTTCAAAGGCATAGATGTTAGGAGACACCACCTTGGAGTCTTGCTCATTGGTAGCATGTTCAGCTATGTCTGTAACTTCACAGCCTTGTTGGTCAGGTAGCTATCATTCCAGATTCAAAAGTCCCTGAGAGACAGAGGATGCTGAATGAGGTCATTGAAAGATAATATGTGGAACACGAAGGCTTTATTTATCAGAATAAGTAAAGCAAAATGGTTAGAACCTTCTTAGCCACAAAATTCACTTAGATTAAATAGAAAATACTTTGAAGGTTTTATTATTATTTTAAAATAACAAACCTATGAATGCTTTTTTTTTTTTTGCTCTATATGTGCTCATTTGGAAAGCATATACTATGGCTAGGAAAAACGTCTGCATCTTGTTGTATTCAATTTCAATGAGCCTTCAAGGGAAAAAAAGATTCTTTGAAGAAAAATCCATTTAAGTAAGAGTTCTCTTGAAGGGTAACATTAAAGGTTTTTGGAAATTTCTGAATATCTAACACTACTTTTGTAAAACAACAACCATAAACCATTCTAGTCATGGCCTTAAGTTTCTCATTCTTAGCAGTCTGGCTTTGGTCTGTGGGAGTTTCATGGGGGAGAGCTATATAAATGTTACATCAACTTGAGGCTGGACATTCATATCCTGCTTACTTGTCCCTGAAGACTAAATGTAAAAATTCTTTTCATCAATTGGAAGCAATACTCACCAAACAATACTATTGGAAACAATAGTTCCTTGGGGAACTATATGTTAGGAGATATAGTTACCCATTCCTTCCTGACCTAAGGAATTCCAAAAGTATAGGCAAACCCTAGATTCAGTGATAAATCTGAGATTCTGACAAACTCAAAAGAACCTGCCCAAGTAGAGTACTATGCACCTAACAGAAAAGTTTTTAAGGGGATTCCAAAATAGAAAATGCAACAAGATTATTTAGAAAAATGAACAATTATATACCACATTAAGATATATTTTCTTCTCATCCCACAGAGAATGCAAAAAGCAAGATAGTTATACTGTTCAAGTAACAAATAAAACATTGCCTTAAGGCTGAGGAAGGAAAAGCTGAAAGAATATTTACACAGAGAGGCAGAGCAAGTGCTGGGTTGTAGACAGTAGAGACATTTGTAGGACCTAAGAAAAGGGAACTACCCATCACAACCATCCATGAAAAGACTTAACATGGTAAAATTAGGAAATATGAAGAATTTTAGAGAATTTTAGGTTTTAAACTGAGATTCAGGGAATTGGTCAAATGTTTTCTATCACAATGTCCTTCATGATTTGGGGAAAGTCATCCTCAATTATGAAGTACACAGTGCTGTAATAGGTGGTGGGCATCTCCTCAGTGGTCCCATACTGCCCGCTACACAGCATCATGCAAGTTTAAGTACCAGTTTTGTATGCAGCATGTATATACAGCATACACCTTCAACTTGGTTAACGATTGTTTCCCTGCTTTATGATGAAGTTAAGTTATTACATACTTACTAAAGACCAGATAAAATATCACCAGGTTTTGAAGTGAACGGAGTTATTGCCATTGTAGAAAATTAGCTAACAACTCTGTTTCTTCAACCCAAAGCCCAGTTATAAACTTCAAGGGGAGAAGGTGTATGTCTTTTGTGATAAGAACAGTGTGGCTTCCTGACCACCTGAACTCCATCAGTTAGGTTCAGAAAGCATGTCATTACAACCTGCATAGCTATAGTCTTGGAGATGGGGCTTTAAGGTGGCCCAGTTTGCACAGGCCTAAAAAATAAGTAAAAGAAGAAAGAGAGAGGGAGGGAGGGAGCATGCAAGGAAAGAATGTCAGAAATGAGAGAATAAAGTGGAAGGAAAGAAAAGAAAGGAACAATATTCCTGTGTAAGTAGGTTGCCCATTGTTCACATTCAAAGTCAATGAGATTAAAGAGAGAGGGGAGGAAAGGCCCTTGTAAGACAGCTGGTGTTCCTCCACCCACCAGTGTCAGGAGGGGTGACTGAAGCCAGAGGCTCTGACAGAAGCACTGTATGGGCAGCAGGGTGCTCTGCTGACCAAGCCGGGCCAGAGCAGATACAGCAGCTGGTGAGCTGCTGCCAGCCAGAGGCAGCAGCAGGTAGAGACACACAGCCAGCATCCCTGAGTTCATGATTATTCATCCTTAATAGCTAGTCAGCACATTTCTGGGCCCTGTCCACCTCAGTGACATGCTGACTTTTGCAGTGTCAATTTGTCATTCGTTGTCCTCAGCAACATATATATGTATCCTTCTCTACTCTCTATTCACCTCTCCAAAGGGGTCAAAATAACTGGATGATAGAGCAAGAATACATTGTGTTTATAGTACTTTCTTCCTAAGCCACTGGAAGCATTTCTCTTTCATTTGTTCTCATTTCCCTCACATTCTAGTACTCTGCCAAAGACTAGTATATATATTTGAGTAATACATTTTACATATTTTTCTTCCTACCTGAAGTAAATGGAACATTTCACATTTATCTAAATGTGTGAATTTAGTAGCAAAATATGGATGGGCCGGGATTCGGCTCCTTAGTCAGTTCAGACAGAGCAGTGTTCATGCCACAAATGAAGATGGGAATTTCTTTTGATGCAACGAGTAGTTTCATAGTCCGCAGATAGGTTAGAACCATCTCAGCATTCATATGCAGATAACTGGAAATGTACCCAAGATGATGGATATACCTTATCTCAGTGCTTCCCTTAAGGGAGGAAAAATATGGGCAATTATTTGAGTGTTATTAATTCTTTCCAAGTGATGCTTATGTAAAGTGTTTGCTTCACATGCTTGTCCTTTAACCTTCAGGACAGCCTTACTGTGTTCCTATGGTTCCCTGTTGCACAGCAATTATGTAATCAGTGAAACAAAATGATGTATACACTGAGTTTGAGATTTAAAGTTGAGTCTGAAATTCCTAGAGACCAGTTTATATAGACCAATGTGTTATTTATTTTTGTAAACCAAAATGTCAGGAGCTGCAGCTTGTGGTGTAGAGGTGAAACAGCACTGAACTTCCATTTCTTCCCTTTCTCCTGAAGCCTTTCTCCTGACTACTTAATGTTCTGTCCCTGTACAGTGAAGAGTTCTGCTTTTCCCCTTTCTCCACTATCTCCCATCAGCCTAGGTTTACTGACTCCTGGGCTAGGGTCTTAAGTCTTTGAAATGTTGAGATTCTCAACTAATATTCCAAGTTAGCAGCTTATTTCCATGTAAAAGGAAAGTTCTGTCAATCAAATTAGAGAAGCACGAAGATTGTTAATGTATTAAGACTACAGACGGTAAGAGAATAAAAATATAAAGATATCTACACTGGTCCATTCTGTGCCTGTGTACAGCGAGTGCTTTTCCATTTCAGTTTATACTTTTAAAAGATCATTAACTTATAAACTTGTAATTGACCAGAGATAAAAACTGTCCAAGCAGTCTATGAGTACAGTGAATCTTCACAATGAGGGCCTCCACTTGTTCTTCCAACCAAAAACAGCACAAGGTATTATTTTAGTTCTATGTTAAAGGCATATTTTATTTTAAATTTTTTTGGTGGTACTTACTACTTAACAGACTCCTTAGCCATATTCTTTTAGATGCTTCATCATAAAAAAAGCTCCAACCCCACACAGTATATAACAATAGACACTAACTCCTTCAAAGACTCTTTCTGGATACAAAAGGAAGCGAGTGGGCAAATGGGTTGCTTTTTATTTCAAAACAGACATCAAATGAGTTGAGTTCCAGGAGTAGTTACCTAATATTCACGATGAAATAAAATCAGAGTTAGGAAATTATTTTGATATAAACACTTTTGCCCTTCATTTCAGCGATTTTGGTACAGTCAATTCGAAGTGCTTCCTTGTGAAATGTTAGCAGCCATTTGGGTCGGTTTTGGTTGGTTGGTTGGTTGGTTGGTTGGTTGGTTGGTTGGTTGGCTGGCTGTCTGTCTGGGTGGGTGGTTTTATTTTTTGATATCCAGCAGAATCAGCCAATAGTCCTCTTTCAGCCACATATCCCATTTAACCAATAAAAAAGCAAAGCCCTTACTTAAAGACCATACAAAAAGCCACAGCCTATGAACAGCAGAATCTGTCCCTAGCATCTCCCACTCATCTGCTGTGACCTCAAGCATCCACATCCAAGGGAGAAACACAAAGCCCCCTAAGATGCCTGCTCTTTTCTGGTTTTGAAAATCAACAGTGTGAAATTTTCTTTTTCTGTTTTAATTGGTATCTGCATCACTTTTCAGTTCACTCCTATGGGAGCCCACAAATCCTGCTGTGAACTTGACAAGGGCAGTAGTAGGAAGGATGGTGGGGAGGATGAGGATAAAAAGAATCAGGAAGGAAAAA